TTCATCTATTGCTGAAAGTTTTTAATCTGTAGATCCATGAAGAGATCTAAAGCTGAAACAACCAAACGTTTGGACTGCCATGGTACCTTGTTTTGAGACTGAAGTATCTGAATGATGACTCTGGTCTGTGGATAATAGTTCTTGATAGAGATCACCCTGAAAAACAAACACACACACACACACACACACACAATATACTCAATAGCCATGGGTCATATTGGCTCTGTAATATAATCCAATTCAGAGTTAAATTTATTTGTCAATAAATGTGACAGGAACTCAGCACGTTACAAAATTGTTAGCTTGTTTCTACAATCTATTTAGTAGAGAGTTTTCTTTCTTTATTTATTTTTATTTTACACGTATGAGTGCTCCACTCAAACATATTTATGTGTTCCATAAGGCCAGAGGAAGCTGTCAGAGTCTCCGGAGTTTCAGGAACTGATCCCGAGTCTTGTGAAGGAGCAGTGAGTGCTCCTAACTGCTGAGCTATCCCCTAGCCCCACCATATTGTCTTCTGAAAAGCATTTTATAATGACATGCACAGAGAAGCAAAAACTGCTTAAATGACCAAGGAACTAAGTCTATGGAATGGGCAGGTTTTAGTGTTAGAAAACTGGGATCCACTGACAAGGAAGAAATAAACAGTTTCATATACCTTACCCTCGTGCCCTATAATTCGAAGTGGCTAATAGGATGTCTAACTCGATACTCTCCGTTTATAGGTTAAGAGCCTACAATACATCTCCTGTTGAATAGAGCGAGTGTGGTTTAACTCGTCAGCTGTCTCTTTACCCTGTGTAGAGTCATCCTTAACTACACACATTTGTTTCCATCTAGGAACAGAGCCACCAAAATCATACTTGGAGTTTCTTTTACCATGAGAAAAGTTCCCGCCCACAGATATGAAATAGGTGATGTTGGGAACACTTATTCTGTTCACCTTGAGAACACTTGACAGGGTGCCACAGACATATCGCACTCAACCATGTACAGGCTTTACCTAGAGCTGCCAAAGAGAAACTCCAATAAAGGAAGACTGCAAACAGGATTCACAAATGCCACCTTGGCCTTTGGACTGAAGAGGATCTTACTTACAGCGGTACTATCTAAATGCTGACCTGATGTTACAGCCGGGAATACAGTTCAGGTGGTAGAGTGGGAACACTTGACGCCCTGGGTTGGATCCTTACCACCATAAACGGGGAGGAGAAGGTGTTGGTGTGCTTGCTTTTAAATGTATATAGCTCTTATCTATAGGAAGCATCAGGGGAAAATATAGAAAATGCCATGTGCAGTTAGGATGCCTGTTTTCATGTTCCTTTGCTTTCATTGTTTTGGGGTGCATGTGTGTGTGGGGGGGAGGAAACAGGCAAAAAATGGCACGTGATGAACCTAGTGAGCTAGAGATATCATCTCCTCTCATTTGGTCCTTAGTGTATAGAGAAAAATACCATCACTGGAGTGTACAAAACAAACAAAGCAAAACGACGCCAGTTTCTTACCTCATAATGTTCGAGTTGTCTTCGGCATGAAAGTCACTGCAGAAAGGGTTGGCTAGAATCAAGCAAGCCTCTGCATTCTCCACCTATTCTTCAGATTAAACAGTAGCTGTCAGGTTAATTACAGGGGGGATACTCTAACATTCCCTCTAGGCGCTTTTTTATGGTTTCATCAAACTATCGCCAAGCGAAAGAGCCCATGAAGGAAGGGGTTATGAACCAAACATCTTCATATCAAGACCATAGTCCTGCAATTGCTCTGAGGGCTGCCACTGATGGACCAGGGGACAGGCACTCTTATGAAAATCTAAAGTTGCCTTCCAGTGGGTACAGTTTAAAATTGTACTTTCCTATATTGTACACCTCCATTACTTTATGTCTGCCGACAAGCAGTAAGACCTTTCTCGCCAACTGCCAGTACACTCTATCCACCTTAAGGACAACAATGGCAGAATCGGGAATGCACTTGTCTATAGTGAAGAGTCACTCGGCATTTGGGTTCTGAATCTTAAAGTGCAAGACAATTATTGAAATAACTCCTATGGTAGCAATTATGAGACAGGAAAAGATCGTACTGAGTCTTGTGATTTTCTGCTTAGTCATTAAATGCTCTGTAGACCAGTGGTTCCCAGGCTCCCTGATGCTGTGACTCTACACTATAGTTCCTCATGTTGTGGTGGATGACCTCCATCCATAAAACTATTTTCATTGCTATTTCATGACTGTAATTTTGCTTCTGTCAGGAATAGTAACGTAAATAGATGTCTTTTCCTATGGTCTTAGGTGACTCCTGTAAAAGGGTCACTAGACCCTCAAAGGGTAGTAGGCAAGCCACTGGTTGAGAACCACTGCTGTAGACCTTTGCTTTAAATAGAATTATTCAGGTTAGTTACTTAGATACTAGAAAGCCAGTTTTGACCTAACCCCAAACTTTCCTGGTCATTTGGCCCTTGTTCATTTTTTTTTTTATATAGCCTTGACCTTGCTGTGATTTCTGCTATTTGTCTTAATGTTTGTCTTATCAAAGGCATGCCAATATTTAAGAAGGGAAGCTGATGAGAGCCAATGGACCCATGGTTAAGACAGCTACGCAGGCTGCTGGGGGAAAAAGTCAGCAGCAGAGATGTTGTACCCATCCATGAGCCTTGCAAGCTACAGTATTATCTGGCCTAGCAAACTATGCCCATGGATGTAATGGTGGTATGAATTCTATAAGAGTAATCAACTGTGATGCCTGGTACTGTAAACTGAAACCCATGGCTGGGAAGCTCATAGGCACTAGGGGAGACTCTACTACTCTTGCTAAATAGACATACTATCAAACCACCTTCTAAATGCATTATTTCTATACCCATAATTAAGTGTAGCTTCTCTGATGAGAAGCTTCTCTATGTAATGGACAGCCATCCAAACAGACACTTACAAAGTGCACATAGATTAAGTGTCTTTTGAATGATTAGCCACAAAGTGGACATCTGTATCACATCCTTTCGCTCCAAGGCTCAGGGAATATAGCCAAAGTGCACAGTGGAAAGATTCTTAGAGCCAAAGGCTGAGGAGTTCTGGAACAAAACAGTATCTTCTGGACATGACAGGGCTGTTGCCCCTATGAACGCATGATAGCTTTTCTTGCCTGCATAAAACCTATACAAGATGGAGCCAGTCAACATTTCAGCATGCATTGTGGAGGGGCACACAAGCCAATAGCTGAAGGGCTATTGACAGTTAATGGCTACTAGGGGAGGGAGTCAGTTTTTCTTAGGGGTGTGGTTCCTGGTAAATTGAACTTGCTCCAGTCAAGGGTCCCATACCCATGTGTGTATGGGCAGCACTAGTTGGATTAGGTGGAGATAGATAGATAGATAGATAGATAGATAGATAGATAGATAGATAGATGATAAATAGGTAGGTAGGTAGATAGATAGATAGGTAGACAGATAGATTGATAATGATAGATAGGTAGGTAGATAGGTAGATAGATCAATAGATAGATAGATAGATAGATGATAGATAGATAGGTAGATCAATAGATAGATAGATAGATATGTGTGTGTGTGTGTGTGTGTGTGTGAGAGAGAGAGAGAGAGAGAGAGAGAGAGAGAGAGATCAAATTGAAAGGGTGTCGTGGGGAAATCCAGAAAGAGCTGGATGAGGAGAAGTGTGAATTAAGTAAAACATGTGCTATGAATATATAAAGTTCTTAAAGAATAAGTAAAAACAAAGGGGGTTGCATCATATACTGACCAAATAAATGGTTTTTTAAATTTTTTTTTAAAGAAAAGAGGTAAAAGAACACATGCTTTTGTTATCGATGACATTCTCCAGACCTCTTAAGTAATAAAATCTCATAGAGAATTTGGTGGAATAGACCAACATTGAGGTCAACTTGCTGAGTCAAAAAGGAGTTGGAAGTCAGTTATTATACTATTTTCCCCATCAGTGTCTAAGGTCATGGAAGCTGCACTCTCCTACAGTCAAAAGAGCTGGACTAATAGCTTCTGGCACAGCAACACGGCCCATTGTTTTCACTCCAGACTTAGGGAAGGGACAAAGAGAAAGAGTTAGATCTTACTGCAACTCGCATCAGATCCTCATACTTCAATGCGGTGCCACATACAAAGGTTGTGCAGGATGAGTGGCACTTCAGTAAGGTCTCCAGTTCCACGCAAGGAGGAGCCCTAGACAAAACAGTTCAGGGGCAAAGGCTGAAACCCAGAGGTAGGTCTTGCTTGGTGGTTGTTAGCCCACTCGGTACACTCTAAATCCCCAGTTCCATCAGAAGACATCTGTATTCCATTCTGGGTCCATATGGCTAGAGGATGTAGACATAGCTAACCCAATCCACAAATGGGTGTGTAGATCAGGCCTGAGCAATCACAGTGACTCAAAACCCAAAACCCACAAATCAAATAATGCCATACAAAAATGAATCACTTAACCACAGAATCAATTCAATCACCCAGACACAGCATTCTGGGGCTGGAAAGATGGCTCAGTAGTTAAGAACACCAACTTGCTCTCTGTGAAGACCTGATTTTGGTTCCTATGACCTACGCAAGATGGCTCCCAACAATCTGCAGATCCCAGCTCCAGGGAAGCCAATGCCCTCCTCTGGCTTTCCCAGGCACCTACACTCAAGCGCACATATTCACACTCAGAGACTCAAACTTTAAAATAAAATCTTAAATAGAAAAAGATATAGCGTCTGCAAACTGTGATTTAATAAAACAGCTTCTAAACATATGAGGTAAACACAGGCAGAGTGTGGGAATCAAACCTGTCACTGGCATGAGAAATTTCAATGAATGATAATTGGCAAGTATTTTTAACATTTTAGTTTAGAAAGCCAAAGTTCTTGGAAGATGGCAAAAAGATTTTTTTAGTAAAATAGTAAATTTCCCAACCCACAAAAACATCTTGCATTGCAAAAAATACTTACAGAACATATTATGATCTATGATTAAGTTAAAAGTTAAGAACCAATGATAATAGCCTACATTGCCCACTGCGGCAACACACATGCTAAGACTGGAATAACACAGAGGAAGTTAGCATGACGCCTGCTCAAGGATGACATGCAGATTCATAAAGCATCCCAGACTCTTAAATATATATGTTCATCACATTTAAAATTTTAAAAACCTAGACTGCTAAAAGTACTACTGGCCTGATAATATTATGATAGTCCTTCATAATTATTCTTAGAAATACATTATGTTAGAAGCATTAAATATCAACAGATGTGCCTTAGTGAAATTTACAGCTTTGTATACTGATATTACTAGGATAAACTCAGAGACAGTCTACAAGCTTAAAATTTATTATCTAAAAACAGAATTGACGTGATGACTCAGCAGTTAAGAGCATTGGCTGTTCTTTCAAGACCAGGGTTCAGTTATTCGTCTTAAAATATATTTAAATGTAATTTTCCTTCCAAGCAAGTCAGAGGGAGCAAGCTAATAAGCAGTCTTACTCCCTGGTTTTTTGCCTCAGGTTCTTGCCTGACTTCCTGCTGTGGTCTTCTAGGGAGGATGGGAACTGTAAACTAAAATAAACCCTTTGTCTCAATGTTGCTTTTGGCAATGGTATTTTTAATAGCAGCAGAGCACGAACTAGTTTAATGGCAAATTGACAAATCTGAAAACAGAATGGAGCTGCTTAGAGTAGCAGCATGTCCTACCAATGAGCTGAAGGATTCACTCAACAGGTGCTCAAAGCAGTCGGTGTATTTAAGAAAAGATGACATTTTATGCATATATCTTACTATATGGAAAATTTCCAGAGATTCAGTGACCTAGATGACAAAACTGAAAATGTTACATTTCAGAAAAAAAATTACATTTAAATACTTTTTTAAACAATGGAAAAGGAATTTAGTTTTCTAAATAGAAACAAAAAATATGTATATTAAAAACTTAGAAGTTAGGATTGTAGCAATAGCTCAGTCAGGAAAGTGCTTGTGAGGATATGTGTTTGATCTCTAGCATTACATAATAAAAAAAAAGTCAACATAATGGAACATGCTTATAATCCAAGCTCTGGGGAAATAGAAGTAGGCAAATGCCAGGGATCACTGGCCAGTCAGCATAGCCTGTTTAAAAAGCTCCAGATCAATAAAAGACCTTACTTCATTAAAAAAAAGGTTAATGGCTTCTAAGGAATGACATTCAAGGCTGGCCTCTGGGTACCATACCTACATGTACATACATCCATGTGCACCTAAACATATGTGCTCACATGTGCATGCACACACATACACACCTATTGCTGAAAACCCCATGCACTTTGGTTGCCGGAAAGAGAGAAAGAGAACTAGAAATGACCTGGAGGCATCCTCCTGTTGTCTAGCTTGCGTGGCCAGTGGGGGAGAAACGTCATCATCATCTGATCCAGCTATGAACCCTGACGGTTATAATAGTGATCTACCGGGCAAGATGTGACTACTGGCATAGCAGTCACATGACCATTACAAAGGTGACAACCTTCTGATTGGATGTGAGGTTTACTTCACAGTGGAAATTCATGTCTGGTACTGTAAACCTGGTCAACAAGGCCGTGAATTGGAGGTCAGAGGCCCTAGAAAGGAATCTATTACTGTAGTTTTGATAAACGTGTTATGCCTCTGAATATTTATGCTAGTTCTCATAGGTTAGTGCTACTCTTAGTCTGGTGGAGAGGTTTCTTTTTGCTGTGGAAGGGGGCCAATGAGAGACTCATTGACTGCTCAAATGCTGGACAGTAAGTGCTGTGAAGACCTCGGCCCTAAATGCATCACCTATATCTATTCCTCCTAAGCTCCGAGAACACTGTAGAAGACAAGATGGAAAGAATATAAAAGTTAGAAGATAGGGGTGTTGCCTCAAAGCCAGACAGAAGGAGGCTGGTCGCCCCCAATAACCATTATGCCTCTATTGCCCCAGTGGGTACATCTTGCCTGGCCGGTCAGTGTTGCAGCATTCAGGGTTAACTCTAGGTGGCATTTTTCTCTCCCAAAGACCTGCATAGCAATTTCTGGCACCATGAAAGCTACATAGCAGGGAGCAAGTTTTCAGGTCATTTCCAGCATGATTTCTGTCTTCTTGCAACTAAAGTTATGATGTATGTTTGGCCATAGGGTTGTAAATCTGTGGGACTGCGTAAGGGTATCCTGGGTCATGGTGGAGCAGGTGCCTAGAACCCCGAGACTCTGCAAATTCTGGGTAGGATTCTGCATGAGAACCGGCAGGAGTTTGGCGCCCCCCACCAGAACCCAGAATCCTGAAAAGCAGTCACGGTCTCCATAGAATTACATAGGCCAGGCTATAGGCCTCAGACTCTAGGGATTTACATACTAATGAAGGCCAGAGGGCAGAGCAAATTAAACATGCCTCCCCCAGATCCTCCCCCAATCCTCCCCCTTTCTCCCTCCCTATATAGCTCAGGACCACCCTGAGTTTTGGGGGATACGCCTAGATCCATCTATCATCTGCCATGACAATAAACCTTTTTGGAACCAAGGACTTCCTCATGTTATTGGGGCCTGTCGCCGACAAGGCCTCCAGGCCGCTGGAACCATAGAGTTCCCCCCGAATGTGGGACCTGCCACGGCGGTGGAAGCCCCTCCGGGGCCCCACCGCTGTGGCGGCTTTTTAAATTTTCCCCACATAAATCTAGCTACGATGAGCAGCCAAGAAAAATAGCAAAATATTATATAGTTTAGGACCTCCCTGATTAATAACTCATAAGTTGATATCTCATGCCTCATCAGAGGGACTGGATAAAGAGCAAAAAAATGACTATAACAAGCATTTTGCTTTTGGATGTATGTGTATACTGTGTGCACACTGTAGCAGGCAGAATAATACCTGCACTTCCACTGAAAGAAGAATGGTGGCCGGGCAATGGTGGCGCATGCCTTTAATCCCAGCACTTGGGAGGCAGAGGCAGGTGGATTTCTGAGTTCAAGGCCAGCCAGGTCTACAGAGTGAGTTCTAGGACAGCCAGGGCTACACAGAGAAACCCTGTCTCGAAAAAACAAAAAAACAAAAATGAAACAAAACAAAACAAAAAAAACAAAAAAACAAAAAGCAAAACAAAACAAAAAAAAAAAAAGAAAGAAAGGTGAACCAGGCACGGAGGCACAGGCCTTTAGTCCCAGGACTCAGGAGGCAGAGGCAGATGGATCTCTGCATTGGAGGCAAGCATGGTTTACAGAGAGAGTTCCAGGACAGCCAGGGCTACCCAGAGAAACCCTGTCTCAAAAACCAAAACCAAAACAAAACAACAGTAACAAAAAACTAGGCAAAGAAAAAAAAAGAGGAAGAGGAAGAAAGTTAACCAAGATAAACAGCAATTCAGCTAACAACATAACTTCTGATGTGCACATCCCAGAGCAAAACACAAAGAACATGAAACCCAGGACAACACAACTGTCCCCAGATCTATCAACCCCAGAGTGATGGCCCCCAGTGAGACTGACTTAGATGAAATTCTAGGCAAAGGATTCAAATATTTTCAAAGAAATGAATAGAGACCTGAACAAGTGCCTGAACCAGTTCTAAGAAAGCACAAAACACACAAATGAAATAATGAACAAAATACAGGATATGAAAACCGAATTCAGATTAGATGAAGGTCAGAGACTCTACAGTAAAGCCTACTACTGCCATTCCTAAGTCAATATAGTTCTAATTGTTTCTAAATACTTCTCTTTGTACCCACTAATTTCTTCACCTTCATCTCTGACACAATCTGCATATATGCCATGGCATGATGCACAAACACATATACACACACACGTACACACACAAACACACACACATACACACATACATATACACACATACACACACATACACACACAAACACACACACACAAATAATAGTAAATAAAATTATTTTTTAAAAAAGATTAGGATATAAATTAATGAAATTGAAACAAAAACCTGCAAATAATCTATAAATCGAAGGGTTGGGTTGGGATTTTAAAAGATAAACCAAATCAATAAGCCACTAGCCAAAATATCTAAAACAAAGAAAAGATCAAATTAATAAAACAGGAATTAGGAGAAAATACAACAGATGCCAAGGAAATTCAAGATTTCATAACTTTAAAATACATATTCCACTAAATTGGAAAGTTAAAAGAAATGGATAAATTCTGAATTGATATGACCTACTAAAATTGAGAGGCCCTAAAACCTTGGAAATAGAAATTTTCAATTCCCTGGGAAGCATACTGGGCTCCTAGGGAGGAACGACTGACCATGGGCCTTAGTCAATGATAGTCCTGACTTAGGCAGGATAAATCTGGACGTGAATCATCTCCTGGACATCTAGCTGGAGGAGATAGCAAGGCCAGAACAGAGCTGGTTCCTGAAATTTTTCAAGGTCTCAGCAATTATAATAAAACTAATACTGCAGCCAATCAAAATTGTACTAATGTCACTGCTTTGCTTGTGCCAATCATATTAGAGGTCACCTAACCCTTATGGAAAATTCCCTAGCCCTACACAAAAAGGGGACCTATGAGCCCCTTCAGTGGTCGCCACTTTGATGACTGCAGGTTGACCCCTGCATGCTGTTAACTTCTGCAGAATAAATACTCTTTGCTTTTGCAAACTTTTTGAATCTAAGGTCTTCCTTCAGTGACTCCTGAGCCCTAACAAAGTGAAGTCAGATGAGACAAACAACTTAAACAATGAGACTGAAGTATTAATTTAAAATCTCTTAGTTAAAACAAAACAAAACGGGCCAGGATGAATTAGAGCTGACTACAAAACTCAACTACACTTTGAAAGAAGAGTATAAATCTAACCCTTCAAGATTTATTCCAGAAAATAGAAAATTGATTTCCAAACTTATTTTTTATGAAGCCAGTATTACACTAATAGCTATATCACAGAAAGATGCAACAACAACAAAATCTATCTATCTCCCTGGAGATATGAGAAACAAAAATTCTTTCTCTTTTTTTGGGGGGGTAGGTTTTGAGACAGGGTTTCTCTGTGTAACCCTGGCTGTCCTGGAACTCACTCTGTAGACCAGGCTGGCCTTGAACTCAGAAATCCACCTGCCTCTGCCTCCCAAGTGCTGGGATTAAAGGCATATGCCACCACTGGCCAGC